GTCTTGACCTTTGAGCTCTCACGGCAGACAGGTGGGGGTTGCAGCTGCCCATGACGGTGATACCCCACGCACACGACATAGGGCCACGTGCTGGGGGCCTAGAGGCCAGTGGTCCCTGTGTTCATTTTTCAGGTCTTCTGGAACAGAGTAGCACACATAGGAGCACAAATAAAAGCAGTAATTTATTGTCCCACGGTTCTGAAGTCGAGAAGTTCGAGGTCAAGGGGTCAGCAGCGCTGCTTCTGCAGGTAGTGAGGGAGACTCTGTCCCTGCCTGTCCCAGCTTCTGGTAACTCAGATGTTCTCAGCGGGCAGATGGCTGGCGTCTCCCCGCCGCTTCACAGCACCTGCCCTTCGTGTGTCTCCTTGTGTCTGAATTTCCTGCTTTTATAGGGACGCTCATCATGTTGGATGAGGGGGCGGGAGTCCGGATTTCAGGCGTCTTTTTGTCCTGACACAATTTAGCCCCTTTTGGGTGCCTGTTGATTTGGCTTTTTTTTTTTTTTTTTCTTGGAACTTCACTTTTCTTGCTCTTAAAAGCAGGATGGCTTTCATCCTGATGGTTTTCCAAAGATATTTCTGTAATTGTCAATTTTTAAATTATGGAAATTAAATAAATCTGCTTTGCTGTTTCAATCATTCATAAAAATCAGTTAACAAGCTTGGGTTTGCTCGCAGCGTTTCTGCTGATAGATTGTAGCTCCAGCACTGCGTGAGGAGTGTCCCTGGCCATGGGGTAAATGTTTTTCCTATTATTAACTTTATTGTTGTGGTGCAAAATCAATCAGGAAAGTGAGGCTGTTCTCATTGTTTTGGGCAGAGGAAAATGTTCAGCACGCGGGCTGTGTGAAGGGGCCAGATACTGATTTGTAGCAAAGACCTGTCACCCCTGGCCCACCCAGGAATGGCTGACAGGTCAGACTCTTTTCCCAAATGTATTTGACGTCCCTGTAGTTGGAAGAAAGGACGACAGGTCAGACAGGTGTTGTTAGGCCTTTTGTATGAGCTTTTCCTGTTTTCTGTGGCCAATTCTTTTCTCTAGTCCACGTTGTTCTGAAGAACATTCAGCCAGGCCTCAAGCACTCGCCTTCCAGAGTCCTTTTACCTTGGTGTCCTCTATCCTTCTTCTGTATCTTCCTCAGAAGCCCAGTAGGCCAGAAATAATGAGCCCTTCTTTGTAAGAAGGGGAAGCAGGTTCATCAGCGGCAGGCACGCACCCAGCCATTCATCTCCCTATAAGCAGGGGCAGAAAAAGGAGCTTCAGGAATTAACCCATGGATCCCCAGGAAACCTACATGCAATACAAGGCAGGGAAACAGGAATATGGAAGGAAAAAAATCTTGTCAGTGTTCTTGGCGGGGCGGGGGGCCTCCCTGTCCAGATGTCCAGCGAAGCCCCGGCCGGTGCCAGAGTAGGCGTGCTGAGTAAACAGGAAACACCAAGGATCTATTTTTATTTGGTTGCTGTCTTTACTTTCCCTTGCTTGTTTCAGTGGAAAATGAGTCTGGATTCCACAAAACTCCTTAGTGAACAACAAATATAAGCAGCGGCCGTGCCAAGGCTCTCATTCCTCAGTGGTGGTTTGGACCTGTGTCTTCTTTGCAGAGACCTTGGAAGGCTCCTCCAGGCCTCACCCGGGCAGGAAGCAGGTGGTTTGCTTTAGAGAAGGCCTGCGGAACGGCGAGCGCGTGCGCCCATGCCTCGGGGGGCAGTTTCTGTCCTCCTCCATGAAAGCCTGTGCTCTCGACAGCAGTCAGCAGTGGGAAGGGCAGGGTGGCGGTGGGGTGGGGGGCGGTTGTCGTCCTGCTCATGCCCCAACATCAGTCTCCGGGGCTGACGGCAAGAGACGGCCATGCCACAGGGAGACAATGGTTATTCAGGTTCTTACGGCCCCGAGGAGGCCCAGACCCTTCCTGAGGGCTGAGCAAGCTGTGCTCTGGGAATTCCAGGCTTGGCCTGAGGATGTGGCAAGAGGTGCGGTGGGCCCCGGGGATATGCTGCTTGAAGAGAACTCCCACCACCCCTGCCCGGTTCATTTCTCTGGTTTTGCCATAAGGCCCATCAGCTCAGGTCTAAGGTAGACAGAGTCGAGGGAAGAGGGGTTTAATGGGCTCTTCTGATATTGAGTCCCCCAGCTCTTTCCTGTCTGGTGGCTGATCTTTGTCCACAATGAGAAGGATTCACATTTTGTCTCCTGCCTCTCTTTCTTCCTCCCTTCTCTTGCTCAGCAGATGCCTGGGGCAGAGGACGTGACCGCACATCAGGATAACTGTACCTTCCATCAGGGAGGTTATGAGGGTCACTCAGGTTAAGCCTAGGATCTAGCAGGGACTTCTGGTCATCTTCTGGGGCCCACCTTCATCTGTCCCCAACTGAAAACTGCCCCCCACCAGTCAGGAACTCCCACCGAACACTTCCCATTATAACTTGAGTGCCTGGACAAAGTTGTCCTGGTTTCCACCAAGCATTTCTGCAGTGGCCCAGCCTTCCCTGCGTGTGCGCGCAGCCCCATCTGATGAACGTCTCTTGGAAACCCAATGAGCCCAGTAAAAATCAGGCCTTTTGGCCAGGGATGGAGTCTCTCCAGCCAGCTGGTGAAGGGGCTGCTGTTATGGCAAGCATTCCGCGAAGTGAGGCAGGTGAGCCTCACACCCCAGGCCCCCGGAGGTGGGCATGGTGACCTCTGCTCAGCCTCTCAGAACTGCTGCTTCTTGCACAGTATCTGCTTACTCCCCCTTCTTCTGCCAACACACATGACTCCTTAGCCCTTTCACTTTCATGCTTCTTCCTTCCCTATAATTTTTTTTCAAGTGTGATTTTTAGGGTTTTATTTCCTCTTCATTTTATATGTGTGTGTGTGTGTGTGTGTGTGTGTATGTATTTCACATCATGCTTTAACAATGGTGATGAATGCAGAAAAGGCAGAAGTTAATCCAACCCCAGGTACTCATTTTCAGGTAATTATTTGAAACTCTTCCCTGTAATTTCAATTACTCATCACCTTTGCTTCCCCATGGTCCCAAGTTGTCCCCTTTGACCTCTCTAGAAGCCATTGGGCTTAGCACTGCCTCCTGACTCCTTGACTGTCACCATGGGTCCCATGCAAGTTCTGGAGAGTACAGCTCAGCACAGTGCAGTGAATCCTCTGAGCACAGCTTTTCTGCCTCAGGCCCCTTCAGGTGGGCATACCTTCTGGGGAGGCCCTACTTCCTAATTTCTTGGGAATTTACAGTTTCTAATTTTTTTCAGAACTTTCCCCAGCCAAAAGTGACCTCTGTTCCTTCTGGACTCCCACATTCTTTATCCAAGTCTCCTAAGCTACTTTGGCCTTCCTGTTGTACAGGTAGATATTTTGGCATTGGTGATGAGGGTGAGTTGCAGAGTTAGATGTCCCGGATGCAAAGACCAGCTGGCTGGATGGCACTATTTGAGTCACTTAACTCCTTTTGCTGGGATAGGATGCATTGAGGGGCTGGAGGCATACCATTTGAGGAGCCACCCATTCTCAGATCCCTCTCACCACCCCCAAAGTGAGAGTTCCACGAACTTCTGTAAGTTTTGTGCCCTAGGTGGCTCGCTCTTGCCTTTCCCTAGTCCCTGTCCTTCCTCTGTTTTTTAATCTATCATAAAAGGTGGGGATGATGACCTCCCTGATAGAGAAATTGTGAGGCTTCAATAAGTAGTGCAAGTGAAAGATTTAGAACAGTGCTAGCATGTAGTATGGGTTCAAGAAATGAAACCATTGTTTCTCTGACCAGACAGTAAGTCCCTGAAGAGCTGGTTTTCATGTCTAGTTCACTTTCATATTCCTACTCACGTTAAATGTACTTAAAGTAGTATCAATTATGTTTAAATGAATTAAGGAATATTTGCTAACTTTGAGGCATGTGGTAATTAAGTTTGCAGCCTCTAGTTAGGCAAACAACACAAGTTTTAAATGCCCAGATCAAGAGTTCTTGAGCTGATCCATCTCCTTGATCACATTTAGAAGCTTTAGGTGAGGTGTTCTGGACAAGAAGGAGCAGAGCTCAAGCCTCAGAAAATTGCTGAGGTTGGTTTTCAAATTAGAACCATAAAAGAAAAGGCTCTAAAAGTGGGATGCGTGCACCGGATTAGCTGGTGTCTGGAGAGCAGCAGCTCAAACGTGCAAAGTGGCTTCATTCCATGCGTGCTGGTTCCCCCAGGAGCAGGCGAGCTCCTTCTCGGCTGCACACTTGCCAGCTCCCTGGAAAGGAGACTCTTTCCTGGAACATGGAGACTATCTTGCATCTTGCCTGGAACTCTGTGAAACTTTTGGCAGCATCTGGCCCAGCTGGGTACACCCCAAAAACACCACACTAATTTGATATTGGGATTGATATTTCTCTTTTAAATTGTGGTTGGGACTCATTAACTCTCAATAAGGACCAACATTGAAAGAGGAGTTTCCTCCCTTTCTAGAAAAAAAATTTTTTTTCTTCCTTGGATGGACCACAGCTCCTGTAACTTATTTGCTCTCCTGGCACAGAACCACATGTTGTGTGGTACCCTGAGGCTGGTGAGAAAGGGGACAGACTCAAGAATTCCTGGGTGGGAAGGCTCTTCTTTGCATTTACCACAATTGCTAAAATGTTACATTTAATAGCTCAAGACTGGTCTGTGTTTGCCTGGAAACCGTGTGTGAGTGGAATTCATTTTTTTTTTTTTAACTTCAAGATGGCCATAATAAGAGCCAGACTGTTGATGAGTCTAACGATTAGAAGCAGCTTCCTAACTTCCCCCACACAATCACGTTGGGTTCAATTTTGAGATCTTGTTCAAAAGTTCAAAATGCGTGGTGTTTATCAAGCGACATCACTAAAATACTCATAGTTGCTGGTGCCAGACACGTGCATCGGGTTTGCAGTTGCCCAGTTCAAGGACTGCCTCTATAACCAGCTCGGAGTTTAAGTAAAGCAGTCTGGAAGGAGGCTGGGAAGGTTCATTTTAGTAACTGCTGTATTTATGTCCATAATACCACTATTTTGTTGGCAAGCATGAGGCAGCCTTCAGTGTGGCCGAGTGTGTCTAGTCGCTGCTCCTGGGTGAGCTCTGTGCTTGGAAACAAGGAGTATAAAGGAGGGCTCTTGGCTTCAGGAATTTGGCTCAGCGTTGGAGTCATGTCCACCATGTGCACCTGCTGCTTTTGGAGCCAAACTTACCCACTATCACCACAGCTCTTCAATAGCACTGAAATCACACTAATCTGTGAAATCTGTCTTTTTCCCTTTTCATTCTCTGTTCACAAAAGAGAATCTCTGGGAGCGTGTGGAAGTGGGATAGGTGTGGAAAAATGCATTCTGATTCACTGCTTGAGAAATTTTTTATTGTATTTTTCAGGAGATTCTAGTTAAAAAAAATCTTATAGTTATTGGGCAAGCTAACATTTAAATTGAAAACAATCAGATGGTACGGACCTCTGCTTTAAGCTACTACACGAGAGGGAACGGTAGTTACCTCAGTTCTGAAGTTATCAGCAACTCGGTGTGTGGGATTAGAGTCTCTTCCATTACAGTTAGTGGTGCTGGCAAACGAATCACTGCCTTCAAGACAGAGAACCTGGGGCACCGGTAATGAACTCATCACTTCCCTTTGCATCTTCTATAAGCAACGAGGTCCTAATGTTAGAAGTGGCTCCATGTTCCCACAGCATCTAGTTTGTCATGATCTAAGAAACAGCATGTTTTAAACCCTTGAATGCTCAAGGACCAAGGGAGAAGAGCAAGAGCAGGGGCTGGTGAACTGCAGCTATGGACCTGCCCCTGTCTTTGTAAATAAGGTTTTACTGGAGCACAGGCATGCTCGCTCACTTATGTAGCTTCTATGGCTGCTTTCATGTAGAGCCGAGAAGTTGTAGCAGAGATCGTATGGCCAGCAACCCCCAAAATATTTACCCTGGGTCTTAATAGGAAAAGTTTGCAGACCCCTGATCTAGACAATTAGATGAGTCAAATGTTGGCTAAAGCTCTCCCACTCATGCCAACAGAAGGACTGGGTTGGCTTTGGTTGTTGTTATGCATTGTGTAATTAAAAAAACCTTTCCAAGCCAGTACAACTACAACTTTCATACACCTTACTTTGGAACAGCGATATGGAAATTAAAATTAGGCCTGAATACATTGTGTTACCTGGATTGCTTCTAAAGGTTCTAAAGCATTGCTGGATTGCTTAAATGTTCATAAGTCGATGTCACTTAATCAAAACATTTAAAAGATGCAAATGCTGGCGACCACTAACGTACCAGCTTTATGCTGTGTCTGTGCAAAATTCTACAATGCTCAAAACCACGTGCTGTAAGCTATAAATGTAGTTCTACTTCAAGCAAAATGCTTCAATCTAATTATGTCCCCAATCTTTGAAACTAGTTTTAAGAGTCACCAGAAAGCTGTAGTTTAAGACACATTTCTTAGCTGAGTTTTCCAGTGCCAACATGTTGGACTGATTCAGTGAAACGTGCCATAAATTATATGCCTTGTTATTTGAATTAATAGGACACTTTCCACAATGACAGTAATTGTTACTAGGGGTTCAAAAGCCAGCTTTGGGCTCTATCTAGGTGATTATTCATCCACTGGCGATGGATCTGAATCTTGTCTTTTTGACCAGGTTAATTGGTCTGGTCAGGAGCATAGGTTATGACAAAGCTGAAGACTCAAGCTAAAACATCACAGTCTCACTCTGAGTTAAACAACCTACATAAATGCAAGGCCACTGGCTGGGATGTGATCGGACTGACATGTTAGAATGGATCTGAAGGCTCTGAATTGTCACTCAGGCTAGGGTGCATTATTTGATGTTGGTTGTAATGAAGGCTAGCTCTTTTCTCATTTAAATATTATGTAGGTCATAAGAAATAAATGATTAGGCAGGAGTAGGCACTCTACCTGCAAGTGTACCTTAGCAGATATGTGACTAAATGCAGCAGAAAAGCCAGACAAGGTACAAGACCACCTGGGCTGCTGCTTCTCAAGATGCAGGTTGGACCATCTCACTTGGGAGCTGTGTCTACAGACTTGAGAAACTGGCTGAAATCCAGTTCTCTAAGTGTAACTGTCCTTTTACCTAGAAGAACTTATAAAGCTTGAGATAATGACTAAGGGGAGAAATGACATATTAGTGGAAATATCACTAAGGATTTACATATAATTTTTGGGACATGTCGAGAATTAAAACATAAACCCACTTGAAAAATTCTAAGATCTAAACAAAGGCATAGGATAGGAAGTTTTCCCTTGCAATTCAAGTGTCATAGACTCAATATAGCTGAAGAAAATATTGCTATTCTATACTTTATGTTAAAAAATGGATCCTAATTCTTTAATTTTTCTTAAGTTTAAAGTCTGCCAGCTGAGGTGTTTCAGTTTTGGTATACGCCATTACAGAATGCCACTTACAAAATATGATTTCAAAGCCATCCTTACTTTCTTTTCAAAGGATGTTTATAACAAGGCTAGTTTTCAGAAAGGATGATTTCCTGTGCTAATTTGGGAATAGAAAGCTGGGATCCTTTTGGGGAGTTTCGTCAAAGATGTCTTGGGAAAAACGCTCTTGCACGTTTGGTTTGAGAGTACGACCATGGGACACAATGTCTCTTGAAAGCCAGGCAACTGCCACGCCAAGCTGCGTGGGAGAAGCAGCCGATGTATTCTACAGGCGAGCTGCAGATGCACATTTTTCTGTGTCGGGGTGTACCACTCCCCAGCTCGGGTAGCCAGGCTCTAACTAAGATCTATGCAGTTAAACATTCACCAGGGAGAGGCCAGGGTGTGGGGAGCACTTCAAGCTACATTCCATGAGAGCACGTGACTGTCAAAGCTTCAGCACGCCTGACTGGTATAGAAATGGAGGTGGGGTAAGGATGGAAACTAGTGCTAGCACATGTCAGCCTCAAACAGCTGCTGACACAAATTGAACATGTGCGCCTTTTTAAAAAGGTGGTATCGAGTAACAGGCCAACAGCCATCCCTTGGCATTTCAGGCTTCTTTCTTCTCTCCACTTTGGCTCTTTGTTGAGTCACTTCCATCAGGCAAAGTTCCATAGGATAAGCCATTCGAGTCTGGTTGTATTTTGTCCAACATTTGTTTCCCTGTGGAGATAACAATCACACACACACAAAGTCCTTTGAGCTGCTACAGAGGATAATTTCTCTATCTAGGCCACATTTTATTCCCTTTCTAAAAATACTATGTGAAAAAAAAAATAAAAACACTATGCGGTCACCCCCTGAACAGAAGAGACAAATGTCAAGGAAGAAAGGGCCCGCAGAACTCCACGTCTCTTGCTGTGTGACCGTGGCGCGCACACATGGGTCGGCACCTCCCACCCCCAGGGCTTACTCCCCGGGCCTGGAGATCAGGGTGATAGTCCACTATCACCATGAAGCTCTCATGGTCTCCCAATCTTTTGGCCTCCCCTGCCCCCGTTCTAGCTGCTTTTTCTATGTTTAGTCTAATACATAGAACAACATAGAAAAGCCGTCTGTGACAGAGGCTTCTGAAGTTGTTACTGATCCTATGTCTGGGGCTTTGTGAAATGGAAAAGAGTTCAAAATAGGTAGACTTTATTACCTACCAAAAATATCAGACCATGCAAGTCATTTATAATGCACCCTTTTGCCATGAAAGTCAATTCCTGCGCTGAACACTGTTAGCTGGTAAGAGGGCTTAAAAGCAAAGAGGTTATAGAATTCACAGGGCCATTATTTTCCTCCGTCATAGGGATGGGGCTTCAGTGGTTTTTGCTTCAAAGGCTTGGTCATAGCAGAATGGTGGAGGAAGCAGTAAGAACATGGCTACTCCTGTTTGGACAACTACGGGTCACCCCAAATTCCTAGAAAAGCTGGAGATTATTGGAGGGGAGGAGGGTGAATGAGGTAAGGATTAGGGGAAGAAGATGTTCATGTTCTGGTGACTGTGTCAAATGTCACTCTTGGCCCCAAGATGTTCCCTAACAGCCTCGCCTTCTATCCAAGATATCCCTTTAAAGGTTCTCCAAGCAGCAGGGGCCTGCTGTTGGTTACCATTCCCTGACTTTCCCTCTATGCTTTTCTAGTTTAAGGACACTCAAAAAGAAAATCTGTGAGTCACCCAAATCAAGAAAACAGTCCTCCTATATCCCACTGTTCTGTATAAAACTGACATTTAAACAATTATTTAACATTTATAGTTAAAACATCACCTTTGATTTCATCATTAAATGTACAGCTTGGAAGGTTAAGAATTATTTTATATGTAACACCCCAAATAATACCACCAGTTATTAATTTAGAAGGATAAAGTTTTCTAGTGTAAATTGAAGAATATATTATTTTACCAGGGATATTTCCAAAATCAATGTAAGACCGTGGCACATGTTCCTTTTCTCGATCTCTTGTGACCAACAACACACCCAGGAATGACAGCAAACACCTGTAAGAATAATATTAATATAGAACACACGAGCAGCAAAACAACTCATGGTATTAAATTACCGAGTTCCATATTTTACATGATGACATACATTCCATCGGTTTTGTTCATCCTGTTTCTCATGGTAAGCTGCCTAGAACTTGTCCTAATTGTTGTAGCCAATAATATTTGTCTCCAGAACCAACACTTGGGGAGCGTCCAATAAATCTGCCCCAGGTTTTTACCATCTGGAGGCTAATTCGGGCCCTAGCCCCTCTGGGTAGACTCTAGGTCTCATTTTCTATCCATGCACGCCCAAACCTATTATTAACATGCAACAAAAGCAAAAAAAAAATAATTTATTCTTTAATTTTCTAAGAAATTTAGTTGTCTTTGGCCATAAGAATAGTCATAGTTTCCAGACCCCAGAAGTATAGCCTTGCCCAGACATCTTACGAAACTGCACTTTCAAGATAGATGGTTTCCTGCGCAGAAAATAGTCTGGGCTCAAGTCTGCATAACAAAGGTCCTGCTGAATACCAGATTATGAAGCAGCTAAGCACTAATGGGGTGCTGGTGGGAGCCAAGGAGAAGCTCCGACACTTTGACAGTATCACAAAGTTCTCTGTTTGCAAGTAGTTTCTCACCCAGCAAACAGTGCCAGCAGTGATACCCAAGCATCTCTGGGAAGGGGTCAAGCTGGGCACCCAACACAGTAAGGGATGGCATCAGTGTGATGCTCTGACAGCTAAAGCTAGGACCCGCCCCAGAGCTGGGTGATCCTAGAGGCATCCGTGTTTCCCTGACACATAAGCGGGGTGTTCTCAAGGGTGAGGTAGGTCTGCTAGAGCTTGAAAAGGCTGTGGAGTATCTATAAAGGTCACTTCACTTGGAACTGAAAATCCTCAGTGTTTCAGAACCTACCGAGAAATATCTAAGTCACAAAGTCAAAGACACAGAGCCCTGTGTGGTGTTAAGTTGAAAGGAATGTTTCTTTTAGGAGCTCAGGAAATGGATGTTTCTTAAATTATTTTCCAATTTCCTATGCCTCAGGTACAATGCCAAAAACCCTATGTAAAAGTAATAGAATCTCACATATTTTACCTCTGAGACATTTACTCACCCAAAAAGATATATAAATATAGTGAGAAAAGCTGCACCAAGGAATTCCTGATAAAATATGATACCTATAATAGGAATAGAGGACAAAATTAATCTTAGGATAAGAATAATTATAACAGCAACATGTTGTTTTTGCAAGTTTTATTTTATTATTTTTTCTAAGTATAGCCATCCTAAGCATATTCAGTAGCTCAATTTAAATATATTTGCACTCTACACTTAGAATTCCAAAAAAAACCACAGATTTGTAGACTTTATATAATGTCTTGCTATAAAATCATGTGTGATGAATGTGTCATTATAAAATCAATGTAATTGATATAAACTTTGCAAATAGAAATTTCTTATCCAGTCCCTATTTGTCCCTCCGGAACCAATTTCCCTGTGACATTTCCCAGTTTCAGGCCAGAAGTCAGCAAGCCTGCCTGAGAGTCTGGGTGGACTCTGGGGTTTTGACCCAGCATGCTCACTTCAGGCCAGCTGCTGTCCATGCCGTCACTCCTGGCAATGCCCTGTGGCCTGCCCGTCTGGCCAGTGCTCACTCAGGCACTGGAGGACACTTTAGCAACTGCCGTGCTAGCTCAGCAACATTTCTCACTGCCAACTCCCTCTCCCATCTCCTCCTTCTGGACATCCCTTTGGGTGAAGGGTAACATGGGTATGTCGTTAACTCCGATGAGCTTCTCTTCTCTCCTTGTTAGTCTCGATGATTTCTTCTTGGTTTAAGGTTCCAAAGTCTTTGTAGAATTTTTATAAAATAATGTAGATTTAAATTATATGTCACCTGGAATTACTTTGTGTGATGTTAACCTTGCCAGTCAGTTAACAACTATTTGATGAGAGTCTGATCTGCCAGTGACTCTTTACTGCGGCAGACACTGCAATGAACAAGAGCCCTGAGCTTAAGAAGCTTTCTTACTTCTCACCTAGAGAATAAGCTTTTCACAGGACAAAGCCATGTCAAATTCTTTTTTGTTCATGGAAGTAACATTGATGTATAACTTTATACAGCAATACCTGTATATACCACATTAGAAATCAACAGAAGTCTAGTTTCCATCCATCACCATGTATCTTGACTCCTCTTAGTCAATTTACCCACCACCCCTTTTCCTTTTCCCCTTCCCTTCTGGTAACCACTATTTTAGTCTTATAGTTTAAAACTTTGTTTTTGTTTTGCTTGTTTATTTGTTTATCTACCACTTATGTGTGAAACCATATGATTTTTGTTGTTCTCCATCTGATATATTTCACTAAGCATAACACCCTTTAGGTCAATCAATATTTTGCAAATGAAGGATTTTGACTTTTTTTTATAGTTGTGTAGTATTCTATGGTGGATATGTACTCCACATTTTCCTAATCCATTCATCTGTCTATGGTTACCTAGGGTGTTCCAACTCTTGGTTATTGTGAATAATGTTGCAGTAAACATGGGAGATACATTATGTTTTCATATTTGTTGGGCAAATACCCAGAAGTGGGAAGGCTACACTGTATGGTATTGTTATTCTTATGTTGTTGATAAATCTTTGCTTTCTATAGAGGTTGCACTCATTTAGAGTCCCAACAGTGAACAAGGGTTTCTTTTTCTCCATATCCTTGCTAAAACCTGTTTGTCTTTTTGATACCAAGTCATTCTCACAGGTGTGAGGTGATGTCTCACTGTGGTTTTAATTAGCATTTTCCTAATAATAAGAGATGATGGACATACTTTCATGTGCTGGTTGGCTGGCCATCTATGTTTTCTTTGGAAAAAGACAAGTAATACTAAACAATCCAGTATCATGTTGCCAATGAGTTTGCCTATGTGGCTTCTGTTATGTTAAGTTCCTTCTATACCCATTTGGTTGAGTGTTTTAATCATACATGAATGCTGAGTATTGTGAAATGTTTTTTGTCTGTATTTATTGAGATATTAATACCCTTGTTGATATGGTGTCTCATTCATTGATTTGTAAATGCTGAACCATCTTTGCATCCTGGAATAAATCCCACTTGATCATGGCATATCATCTTCTAATATATTGTTGAACTTGGCTTGTTTGGCTTATTGTCAGACATTGGGTAAAATGCCCTGAGAATATAGGCTATACAGATCCTTGTAACCTAAACCTTCCTTGATTTTTCTCATTTATTCTGAGAGAAACTTTATGCTTGTTATGGAATGGACTCACCTAAGTATAGAAAGCCAAAACTTACCTGCAATAATGGCACTAGTTGTAAAGAAAACATGGTTAATTGGCACCACCATCGCTGTATTGTAGAGTTGTGTGGCTTGATTCAGGAACCTAGAGCAGAAAGCACTTACTGAAGCTCAGGCTTTAAGAGACCCTCAGCATTAAGTTACCAACAACTTCAAGAAACGCATGTTCTTTAGCTCCAACTACAAAGGGGAAGGAAGTGCAGTAAAAGGGCATTTCCAATCAGCAGTCACAGCTTATATGCATCTGATGTATGAGATCAGATGTCAGGTTTTATGGTCTGTTTAAACCAACAACAGTAACAATGAAAAGCAATTAATCATATTCCGAGGCCACAGAAGTTTGAGTTGGAAGCGATTCAAGCTGCTGGACCAGTATCACACTGGGGCTGATTCATTAGGATAGACCCTAGAATCTGTTAAATATCATATCTGGGGAATAGTGTAGCTATCCATTGACATGCCACGTGCCAAGAAAGAAGATGGAGAAGTAAAGGAATGTGTAATGTTTCAGAAACAATGCTCAGGGCTCCAGCTGCAGAGCACATGTGGGAGCTCAGCCTCTCACTTTGGCCACCAAAGTGATTCGGGTTCCCATAACTATGCTGTTCTGCCCAGTTGGGGACTAGACCTTTTCCTAAAGCTGTGCATTGCATTGATATCACCTGGGTGCTTTAAAAAAGCACTAATGTTTAGGTTCTGACTAGAGCATTTAAAATTTTTGTGTGTGTGGGTAAAGCCCGGTGTGCCCTTGCATGTATTTACAGGCATGCACGTGTGCATGCACACTAGCACATGCATGCACATACATGTGCATGCATACAAACATGCTCGCCTATATGTACACATGCAGGTAGATATGTGAATGTATACATATATGCACAAGCCTCTTTGGGTAATTTCAAAGGGTAGCCAGGGCTGAGAACCACAGTTCTACAGTGTGAAAGATGCAGGAACTAAAGCAGGGTGATAGGAATGCTGTTTGCATTCAATTGTATCCGCCTTGTGAATTCATCAAGCATAATATGAAGATAATGAGGGTAATCACTAAATTCCAAAAGTGCTGATTAATTCAGAAGGAGAAAGAGAAAGGAAACAACATAAAAAAGCTTCAAGTATAAGAAACACGTTCAGTTTTGTAAGAAAATGACAAACAAAACAGTGACAAAACATGGAGTTTCTCTGGGAAATCCACATTTCATCTAACAAGGCCTCTATCCAACCCTATATCCTCTATCCCAATTAGACTTTACCGCTGGCACTGAATGTAAGGAAGCCCTCTCTTCCTGGGTTGGGACTCTGATTTCCTTGCTGGCAGTGGGATGCTGCTTTTGCAAAGCATTGTAGGGTAAACAGAAAACTTTCTGGTTGACTCAAGAGCCCAGCAGGCAAAGGCATAATCACAATGTGAAATGAAGGGGAAGTGATCGGAGCAGATGGAGGTGGGGGGAGAGAAGAGCAGAAATTTTAAATGTTCCATGTCACCAATATTAGGCCCCAAGAGAAACATAAAGCAATCCTGCCGCAGTCCCATGGGTACAAAGAAAATTCTAGCCAAAGATGCAAAGCTCTGGGAAAAAGATTTCCCTCAGGGCCAAAAACGTCTGGTTCTGTCCATCTCCGGGCAATTAATGAGCACGAGCTAAGAAATGAAGGTGAAGGGTTCATGTATTTCCTATATTTAGAATGAAATCCTGGATGTGGACCTGCCCCTTTGATTTATTGCTAATGACAACCTGTGTACGATGGCTATTAATTACAAGCAGAAGAGCATCAGGAAAGTATCAGAGTGCACTTAGTTGGATTATGGCTGTACTTTAGAACTCACAAGATGTGAAGGCAATGCTTAGTAAAAACTTATTATTGGATGCGAAGGATCAAGCCAGGCATGTTGGCTGAGGATAAGCTGTAGACCCTTCACCCTTAGAAATCAGTCGCAACTAATTTTAATGATCATCTGAAGCCAATAAAGATTAATGTTCAGAGAAGCGCAGGAATGTTGAAAGATCAGTGAGTATGCAGAAGCTAACTTACTTGACTTGGAAAACACAAGATGCTACCATGATGATAAACATGATATAGAAGATGGGATAGGTTAGTTGCATTTTATCCGTCACAGAAAAAGTGATCATGCCTGAGATGGCTTTTACTGAAATAACAGTCAATGAGGCTGAAAAAGAAAAAAAAATACAAATAAAATACATATTTGAGTCAGAATTACAAATAAATACCTTCCGTGTATGTGGCAGAGTAGCAAATACCCCAAACATGCCTTGGGAATGAAAACTGCTGTGAGCAGGTTGGATGTGACACTCGCCAAGCAGTAGCCCCGTTGCTCAAGCTGAGCTGGACTTTAAATTTGCTCAAATCAGCTAAAGATCTGCTCTGTGACTGGGTGCTTTTTATCTTTGGAGCAAGATGCTTATTTTCCAGCCCGAACTGTTGAAAGGATGCCGGGGAGGTTATAATTACCCGTAGATGGGAAAGGAGAGAACAATGAAGGGAGGATTTAAGAAAAGTCAGATTGTCCATGTGACAGCAGTGGGAAAATAACTATTAAACTATACTGAAAAAATTTCCCAGCCACAGAGATGAGAAGCCTGGAAGGTGAAAAGCAACTCTCTTGATGAGTTGCTAAGAGTCAGACTAAGTCTGTGTGAGTCCTTTATTGGTAAATGCCTAGGAGTTTCATTAAAAACATTTTTTTGACAGACACACTAATTAGAAGAAGGGCCAGAACTGAGTTTTCATTTCTTAGAGTCAATGATATATCTAATTTTGACATAAGCAATATCTATTTTCTGTGCTAAAGAGGAACCTATCCCTTATGAGAACAATTTTTTCATAGGTTCCAAACAGTTATGAAGAAAAAGTGACTTGGTGTGGTTATACCAATATGAAAGCCATGATACATTTTCTGGAAACACTGTGTTCCTGTAGGAAGAAGAGAGTGGGCTTTTTTTTTTTTTTTAATCTTTGGTTCCCTGATATTACAGTGGCATATGATTCCATAACTTAGCTGAAACCCACAGAAAGTTATAATTATTTGATTTTAAGTAAAAATTATTTTAAGTCAAAGGCAACATGAAGAATACTACCTTTGTTGCTGCTGATCTACCTGGTCATAATATATCTGGGTTTTATTCCTTTTAGCTTTTGAAAAGGCATTTTATATATAAAGAGTATGTTTAAAATAGCAGGTGATGGCAACGAGGAAAAATCTTCATAATTTCCCTTTCTAAAAGCTGAAAATTCACTTTAACTCGAAGAGTACTAAGGCCAGATTAAACATTTTCTTTCTGTTCAAAGTCATAATTAACAGAAGAGCCCAGGTGATAAATTCTAAAATCACATCCCCAGTCAAAACAGAGGCCCTGACAGTCAGGCCCCTCTCCACCTAACAATGTCTACTGACTCGATGCTTTCATTTATTTCTGACATTATGCCAACAGTTATATTTCAGTTAATCCAGGAAATTTTAATATTTGTGAAGATGTGTGACACTTGAGGGTGGAAGTGTGTAAGGTTAGCTTTTGAGGAACATTAATTCCTTTCTAAAGAATTTGTCTGGAATTAGAGCACCACGTGGTTATGGTCTTGTGGTCTCAACAGCCAGGTTCCCAAAGGACCATTAATGAGGAGTTGAACACACTGTGCAATGGCCTCAGAAACTCAAAATGGCAAAGCCCTTGCAGGTCACCACAGCCACTATGTGATGTTTAACTTCACTGAAACACAAAACAAAGCCAGAATTCCTTATGAAACAGTTAAACAAACTATCAATTGCTGTAATTAATTTGTATATTTTCAAGGCATAAACAATGACTAACTGATTAATCACTATTTATTGTGACTACAAGTTATTTATAGGCTGTTGTCCAGTACTCCAAGGCCTTTTGTGTTTTGGGGGGGGTGTGTGGCTGATGAGGACTGGAAATACAAAATTATAATGCTGTTAACTCCAAGCGCTAGGATTATGAATACTTTTAAACTATTTTTTAAACTATAAAAGCATATACATTCATTTCAGAAATTTGGAAAATGCAGAAACACCTAGAAAGAAAAGTGAAATCACCCATAATCTCAACACTCCTCCCTAAATCATTTTTAACATCTGGGAATATTTCTTTTTAGTTATTTTCCTATCAAAGTATGAATATCACACAGCACACAGCACATACTACTTAGAAACCTATTGTCCATTGCCAGTATTTTTTATGCCATTTAGCATAAAAAATGGATTAAAAAGTATGCCTTTGTATGAAAGTGTAATTTATTTCTGCAATTTCTTATTCTTGGCTATTTAGATTGTATAGACTTTTTTTGCTATTAAAAATGAGACTGTGATGAACATCTTTGAACATAAATCTTTATATATGACTCTGGTATCTGGTGGCTTTTGTTCCAATATTCAGTGTGAAATTAGTTCCTTGTGCTATCTTTTTTCAGATTTGGAATCAATATTTACACTGATTATGTGGGGGGGGGGAGGAGAAAGTTTTTATGTCCTCAAATAGTTTGAACAACATGAAAATAATTTGTTCCTTATTTAAAGGCATTAATTTTAAACTCTCTTTTGCTTAGGTTGAAGCTTTTTTAAAAAATCCTCAATTTCCTCCATAGTTATCATCCTTTAAAAATAACTTATTCCAGGTTTTGTATTTATTTTCATTATATTTAATTTTGAGATATTTTCCTTTTTTTTTTTTAATGGAGAATCTGATTTGCTAGTTATCTTTTACAAACTTATTCCTCGGTTTATTTTATCAACTTACTGCTTTTCTGCTTTTTAGTTCATTAATTTTTGCTTTTATCTTTTTTTAAAAAAGATTTATTTATTTATGCATACAAGAACTGGGGTGTAAGCCAGAAGTGGGTAGGGGGTGGGAGAATTCACCAGAGTGGGGAGCAGAACAGGCAGATCTACTGAAATATACTGCTGAGGGCAGCAGCAGGGGAGGCAGGAGAGCTCTGCTGCGCCATGTGGCCATGTGGGTTGCTCCCTGGCCGGCTGGGGATCAAACTAGTGCTGCGTGTGCTCGGGTGGCTGGTGATGGCTTGATAGTGCTGTCTTTAAGCCCTGTGCCACCAGGGAGGCCCCAAATTTTTGCTTTTATCTTTGCTAATGGCTCCTTTCTGCTTAACTCAGCTTCATTTCAGTTTCTCCTAACTTCTTGAGTTGAGTGTTTAATTTACTTTCATTTGAAGCAATGAATATCTTTCTGATTATAGCACTAGTCATAAAGTATAGGCTTAATATTAAGTGTCTTCATAAAAAATTTTTAAATATATGCTGCACTAAAATCTTGGTTTCTAAGGGTCAAAGACAAACCTTGAAAGCTGATCCTAGCTCTGAGGCATCAATGAGGGGAGGAGGTGGGAAGGGTTGAGTGCAGCTGTGGGGAGCAGCACAAGGGACTACGGTGATGGGCTGTGGGTGCTATGGTGGTGAGAGAACTGCAGTGACCGTACACGAGGGGAGAAATCATATATTGTCCAAAAATTTAAAAAATTAAAAATCTTGGTTTCTACTTTTGGTGCAGTAGCAGTCTGAGTAGTGTTAACATTGCCAGGTGGTAGTTTCACTGCTTTATATTTTTGTTATCATTTTCTGTCTTTATTTTGCTGTGATCTAAGAATATAGTCTGTTCAACTTCCTGGAACTTTACAAGGATTTTTTTTTTTTTTGGTGTGGCGATTATATGATTAGCTTTTTAAAATATTACGCTGAAGGAAAGTGTATTCTGCTTTCTAAGATTTAGAGTTCATTATTAGAACTGCCAGATCAAAATTAAGCCCAGTTCCAAAATTCAGTTCCTCTATTTTTACACATTTTTAAAAAGATTTATTTATTTATGCATACAAGAGCTGGGGTACAGGTCAGTGGGGGGGGGGGAGGGGTAGTAAGAGGATTCACCAGCGACAGAGTTGGGAACAGAACAGGCAGATTGACTGAAATACACTGCTGAGAGGAGCAGTGGGCGAGTCAGGAGAGGTCTGCTGCACCATGTGGGTTGCTCCCTGGCCGGCTGGGCATTGAACTCATGCTGCAGTGGCTGCGGATAGCTTCATAGGTTGCTTCTTAACCCTTGCACCACCAGGGAGGCCCTATTTTTACACATTTTTTGGGTCTACTTTTCTTCCATGAGTTAAGGGAAGTCTCCTAGTCCTCTTATATAACTGCTGAGGTAGTTTAAAATTTTTCTGCAGGGTTTTCCATTGCATATTAAGCATGATGTTCTAGGGACTGTGCTCTGTTTTAATCTGGATAAATGATGCCTTTTTCTGGCACTGACTGTTTCTCTCTTGATTTTGACTTGGAGAGTAACAGCATGCCCTTCTGCTTTCTTTCACTTTCAATCTGTGTACCTTGTTTTAGATGAAATATAAGTATGAAGTCAAAATATTTCATAACCAGCAAGGGCCAGTCACAAAGTGTTCTGGTCCAGGTACCTGTAGAGAAGTCCTGGATCTCCCAACTCCATTAGTATTTAGTCAAATCATGCTGTGGCTGGAGGAGGAGCTCACCAGACTTAGGTAGCAGAGCCAGTGCCTACTGGTTGGATCTGATTTGAGAATCCGTTTCAACATCAATCTGGGAATTTTTCTCTAATTTTTTAAATTAGGTAAATTGACCTCATTTACATATATGATCACAAATGATAGGTATGATCTTAAATGATAAAGTTCTCTTTATTTTCAGTGTTTTCCTATGCAATGCACATTTTCTCTCAGTTGTTTGCCTTTGTTCTTGGTACCTGTAGTTGGGAAGGTAACAAATATAAAGTTTCTTTTCTGTTCTTGGGAATGGCAACATACCTGAATAAGATATAAAGTAAATCTGTATCTGTAAGTAACTATCACAAACACTAATTGGATACAAGTAGAAAGCTAGTTAATGAAATGAAAACTCCAGCAGCTCACTGGCAGGGGGCTGCAGCCTGCCCTGATAGTATAATCTACAGTATTCAGGTGACATACAGGTGATACTGTTGTTAAAGACATATCTTTTTAAAATTTATTTTAAATATATATTTATATCATTGTCTATTTTTAAGCAATGTTTGCTTCCCCCACCCCCCAGGTGTAGTCCCCATAGAATTTCCTTCACTGATGCACCATCACCTCAGTCTCCTGTGCTCCTCCCTCCCTCTGATCCCTCTCCTTCCTCTTTCCCTGAAAGACGCACCAATAAAAATTTTAAAAGGGAATTTCCCAAATGATTAGTGAAGATTAGAGTTGATATGTGTGAGTCTATGTGGGGTGTGTGTGTGGGTGAAGGTATAGATTAAATTTTATAAACATATATTGGGTTTATCTAAACATCAATTGTCAAGTCTTTCAAGGTGTCTCTGGAATGAAATGTAAATGGGTGAGTAAACAATAAATTGAAGACATGTATTTAAGGAAAATTGTACTACTTACTTACATTAGCCATATGTTACAGTTTTTTTTTTTTTTTTAATGTAAGCAGGATAGGTCTTGATTACTAACTCTCCTGCTACGAAAGTTTCAACAGGGGTCATTCATTTGTTTCTCTTTTAATATTTTCAATTACTTTCTGAGAATGAAAATCCTCAAATTGCCAGAGATGAGAGGTGAAAAATGGAAACAGTGAGAAAATAATAGAATGCTTAGTATTTTCCTTCAAATCTCTTTTATGACTTCGCATGGCTAGAGCAGAGAATTAGAAAACTAAATGTATCCTTACCTAGAAGTGCCACCAGGGTTAGCAGAATTGCAATATGCTTCATTCCTTTTCTTTTAAGAAAGTATAGGAGAATGCAGAAAATTACTATTTCCAAAATCTAAAAGTGAAAAAAAAAGTATAAATTATACTTCTCTTTTGGATTTTGCAAGTGTTGTGGGTGACTGGAAATCCTAAGGATAATTATACATTTAGGAGACAATATAAGGAGACTCGACCTTCTAGACCAGGTGCGCTAACATCACCTACATGCCAATGACACCCAACTCTACATCTCCAGTACTACCTCCCTGCAACTCCAGGCTCATATACCCACCTATACTATACTAAACATTTCCACACACACGTGTAATAGCCATAGCATATGGATATGGGCAACACCTATCTCTTGATTCCTTGTCTTCACAACCTGTTCCTCTTGAGGCCTTCACTGCTCAGTAAATGACATTCCCATACTCCCCACTGTACAAACTGAAAATGTCCCTTTACCTCACTTCCCATTACCCACTTTTACAATCGCTTCTAATTCATCTGATTTTATAACCCAACCATTTAGCAACCAGAGGAATTAACAGTTTGGACAATGAAATATTTCAACCATATGATATACATATATGTTATTTATAATATAACAAGTATTTATGTGCCCTTTAGCCAACCTGAGAAACAGAATCCATCAATACCTTTGAAGTCCCTTGGGTGCCCCTCCCCCTATGAATTCCTCAGGAAACAGTGCACTGAATTTTGTGTTTACTATGGGTGTCATTGGCAGGTAGGTGGTGTTAGAGCACTGGGTCTGGAAGGCTGAGTCTATTGTTTCCTATGTATAATTATCCTGAGTGTGTTTACACTTAGAGTTCATCACATTTCTTTGCATCCTCAAATGACATCTTATTTAGTTTTGCTTATGTCTGGACTCTACACAAGTGAAATCATACTTGCTTTCACTTGTTTGCTTTTTTCCACTATGCATTATGTTTGTGAGATTCATCCAGGATGATACATGTTGTGAAAATATAAATAAGATCTAGTCATTCCTTTGCTTATACTGCCTGTAACTTCCTATCCCATTAGGAATAAAGTCCAAACTCCCTCTAGGATTATCAAACTTTAGTTTTCTCTGACTTCTTGTGCACTCCTGGATATGCCACCCTTTGCCAGCCACAAATTCTGTACCATGTCCTTCATGCTCTGGTTCTTTGCTGTTCTTGGCTTATTCCTGCTTTTGAATCTCTGCACTGACTACTTGGTGGGCCTGGAATGCTCTTTCCCTGATCTTTGCCCAATGGCTCCTACTCAGCTTATAGCTGCAACATCACCTCCCCCGGAGGTCTTCCCTGACCACTTGGTTCTAACAGCCTCCAGTTATTTGATCACAATCCCGACTTCAGGTGGCTACTGTAGAGGGTTTTGGCATCCCCCAGTGTACTTCCTGTTCGTGTACTTAGTGTGCGTCTCCCAAGCCAGGGCATCAGCATTATGAGGAAATGTAATTTATCTGTCCTGTTCTATCTCCAGTGACACAATTATCCACTAATCATCCACTCTATATATGGAATTGATGAGGAAATGATATTTCAAATTTATCTGAGCTTTCTTAAAAAAACAGACCTGATGTCTAATAAACCAATTGTTCAAAATATGAATTGACTGAATGCCTATAAAATTTTCCTACACTTAAGAAAACTCTAGTGTAAGTTTGAGTTCTCAATTTTATTTTTATTTTTTTAATTTAAAGAGGCATGCATTTTTATTTATTTATTTATTTGTTTGTTTATACATGCAGTGGGTACAGTCAGAAGCGCGGGAGGGTGAGAGAATTCACCAGAGTCAGAGCGGGGAGCAGAGCAGGCAGAGGGACCGAAGTACACTGCTGAGGGGAGCAGCGGGCGGCAGGAGAGGTCTGCGTGCCATGTGGGACCCTCCTCTGGTGGCCGGGGAGCAGCCGGGGATCGAACCGGTGCTGCAGAGGCCACAGGCAGCTTCGCAACCCACGCTCAACCGCTGCGCCACTGGGGAGGCCCCAGTTGTTGCTCTTTTTAATCCTCTGTGGGCATGAAAAACAGCAGGATCACATTTTCCTCATTTAAAAACCTTTCATCTAATATAGAAGATTAACTAATCCCTTAGCCTTCTTTTCCTGGGAAATTAAGCCAATTATTTTAACTTTGCCTTCTAGGACTAACTGACCAGCCTTTAATTTGATTGAGTCATGCTATAAGAGCAATTAAACTCCTACCTCTTTGCCTTCCTGAAAGCTGCAATCAAAATTGGGGGTCCCAACCAATGTCCCTCTTGGCTTGGTCTCCCCTCCACCACAGGCTTCATTTTTTAAAAGGTTTATTTATTTATATAAACACTGGGTACAGTCAGAAGCGCGGGAGGGTGAGAGAATTCACCAGAGCCAGAGCGGGGAGCAGAGCAGGCAGAAGGACTGAAGTACACTGCTGAGGGGAGCAGCGGGCGGCAGGAGAGGTCTGCGCGCCATGTGGGACCCTCCTCCAGTGGCCGGGGAGCAGCCGGGGAGCGAACTGGCGCTGCAGAGGCTGCGGGCAGCTTCACAACCCACGCTCAACCACTGCGCCACCGGGGAGGCCCACAGGCTTCATTTTCTGATGTCATATAATTGCAAAAAACTCACAGCAGTATTCTAAACCACAGTATTCATGGTCACTGGGCAGATGAAAGTTTTTCTTATACTAACACATAGCACATTTGCTTGCTCATTTGGTGGGGGGGGGGGTTGGGAATGAGGGGAGTTAAAAGTTCTAAAAATCACATGATTTTTCCCCCAGATTCTATCTCTGTGACTTCAGATAAATAAAGCATGACTTCCCATTATTCCTGGAATGGCTGTAGTTGTTACACTGGGTTCTTCTTGTGATGGGTGGTCATGGAGTTCCCAGGAATAAGATATTCAAGTAGCATGATAAATGTTAATTTTGGTCTAATATCATTTTCCCTTGCTGAAAATGTCAATTTTAAAGAAGCTGTGATTTCTACAGGTTGCTGTGACTCAGGAAGAGGCTTCGGTGCTGATTGTTATCTCAGAGGCCAGAAATAATACCTACTGGATGTCTGCTCACCACATGCTTTGCTTGAATAAATTCGCTGAATTCTTGCAACCTAAGCGGGTAGGTATATTATTATCCCCATTTTATAGATGAAGACACCAGAGCTCAGAGGTGTTAAGTGATGCAGCGCTGGTGGGCAGGATAATGGTTCCCCAAAGATGCCGACATTCTAATCTCTGGAGTTTGTGCCTAAGCTGCTTTCTATGGCAAAGGGACTTTGCAGATATGGCAACGATTATGGACCTTGAGAGGGGGAGGCTCTCCCAACCTGAATTATCCAAGAGGGTCCAGTGTTACCACACAGCTCTTTAAAGCTGAGAGCCTTCCCAGCTGTGGTCAGAGAGAGATGTAACTTGAGAACGACCTGAGCTGAGGAATGCTGGCGGCCTCTAGAAGTTGGAGAAAGCTAGGAAACAAATTCTCCCCCAGAGGCACACAAAGGAACCCAGCCCTGCCAATACCTTGATTTTAGTCCAATGAGACCAATGTTGGATTTCTGACCTTCAAAACTGGAAGAGAATAAATGTGTGTTGTTTTAAGCCATTAAGTTCATGATGATTTGTGATGGAATAGGAAACTAGCTCAGGTTTTGGTACCTGATGCACCAAAAGAGTGCTTTCTAGAGAACAGAATCTTCAGGATGACTTTTCTGAGCTTCCTGATTCCAGGTTTTCTGGACTGTTTCTCTAAATAAATTTAAAGACATTCATCACTCTGTCATTAAAGGTTAAAAAAAAAGGTTGCTGCCCCTCCACAAGATGTGACAAAAGATTTAGTCAAAATTTCACCACTGGATGTCCCATTTCTAGTACCAAAGCCTGACCCCAGATTAATATCCTCTTCTCATCAAGTTATTTTTGGAAAATGTAGCCTCTAAGACTTCCTTGTTCAGAAGAAATGAGCTCTGCAAAGGTTATTCAGACAAAGATTAAATCCTCGGTGGTCTGTTATTATTTCTGCATGGAGAAGATATGTAGTGAAATGAATTGGAGTGTGCACCCCTAGAGGCAAACTGCCTGGTTTTGAAGTCTAGCTGTGCCATTTAGTATTTATTGATATGTGGCCGTGGTCCCTCCCTACCGCTGATGCAGAGGATAACAGTGCCAGACACTTTGGGCTGCTGTGCAGGTACAGGGTAGATGTATAAGGAGCTGAGCAAAGGGCTCAGCCTGAGTGTTGGTTACTGCTTCTGCAGAAGCCCGCCCTAGTGCAGACCTGCAAGTGCTATTTACTTTCAGAAGCAAAGCAAATGAAACTCATGCAACAGATACTGAGATTTTACCAAAAAAACCCCATCATTTTGTCCCTTCAGGTTTTTAACACCTGATGATGGGTTTTAAGCAGCTTTGTCAGAATGCTGACTTAATAATCAGCTTTCAGTAGACATTGACACCAGGCGACAGGCTGGGCCCCTGCTTCTGCTGATTTAATTTCTGGTCTAGTGGAGAGAAAATGAGCACCATGCAGATTGTTTTGTGATGGAGTCTAAGTTCAGAAAAAGATTTCAATTTGAGCAGTCTGTAGGAAAATTTGGGCAAATAGCTATAATTAAGCCTGCCAAAGAACATGAAGTAATTGAGGCGTAGGGACACATTTCCTCCCGGGGGCTCTGCAGACCCTTTTAATAGGCATTGCTCCACAAAAGGTCCTTGGAGAAAAGGACCCATGCTCAAATAAGCCTGGGCCTGAAGGATTAACACAACTAGGTATGTCTGTTTCCTAGAGGATATCTAGCTTTTAACATGTTAACAGAGGTGATGTATTTTTCTCAAGGGGCTATGTGACACAGCATCACACCAAGCTAGTTTGACCTCCGAATCTCACTCTCTTTTGCTTTTCGGCAAGCACCAGGTGGGCCTGCCCATCGTCTCACTCATAGCAGGAATCTAGAAAACTTAAATAAGGGACCAGAAAAATGAATAACTATAAGAAAGTGAAAATCAAAATCAACAAAAAACTATGAACCAGAGACACTTTTAGGGGGGCGGGGGCGGGAGGGGAGGGATTGGGGTCAGAATGGGGGGGCTGCAATTGTATGGGGAATATAACAATAAAATTTATAAAAAAAAAATAGAGGTTAGGAAAGGCTGTTTAGTGGGTAAGCAAAGGCACTTTTCTCTCGACTGCCTGGCTGATATAGGCTCCTCAAATCCCCAAACAAAATCAGAGGACAGACTCCTGGGTCCTGTTTCTGGGAGGCTGCACTTCCTGTAAGCTTTCCCTCATCTGGTAGAGGTCAATGCTTGAGACAAGAAGATGCTATCAGCTAGTCTGCAATATATTTCCATAATCTCCCCTTCCCCAACACACCTGTTTTTAGAAATGTAAAACTTTAGACTTTTAAATATTTTTATTCATTTTATTAGTTATTTGATCAGTTCTGAAAGACAATTCAAGTGCTATTTATACTTGGTGTAATATAAAAAACAGTTGGATGAATGGTACTTCAAAGAATAATATAATTACTGTAATTATGATCTTTGCAGTCATGATTTGCAGAAAAAAGGAAATATTACTTAGATGTTTAACAGATTTAAAACCAAATTTCAGCTCAAGATCTAGATTGATAAAGTCTAGTCTTTAGAGATAGTCATATAATGGATTAAATCACAAACTATACAGATCTATTCCCCAGAGAGTATAATGCCAATAGTGTTATTCAAATGTGACTTTATTAAAAGTTTTTTATGCTATCTTATAAATATCTAGAATTATTTACATTTTTATGACATTTACCTTAAAATATACTTTTATTACTTTATAGGAATATGAATTTCTCTCAGGACTATAAAATACCAGCTACAGGAATTCTCTATTCTCTGGTTGTACTGTAAGTTGAATGAATAAGTGACTATAGGAATGGGTGAATTTAAGTGTTGACTTCAGAAAATGGCAAAATGCAATTAACTTCAGAGTATTTCTTGTGGAACTGTAAGTTTTACCTTTTAAAATAAGATAATGTTATTCATTTTAGGAAATAAATTGATAAGTTGATGGGCTATGAGTAAATGCTGCACAATAGTAAAGAAGAATCAAGACTACAAACAGCAATTTCATTTGGGGGACCTCGATGTCCCATAGCCCTACTAGACTATAAAGAGGGCAGGGTAAAACTAAAAGCTTAGAAAGTGGAGGGAAATAAAATTTTTGTGGTGAGTGGAAGAAGGGACGTCAGACAGTTTTTTCATCAGATGACTTAAGTATCTTTGTAAAGTAAGAGAAAGGAGAAGGCTGGGAGACCATAAATAGAAAAAAGTACAAATATTTGTGTTTTAGTGGTCAGAATTATATATCAAAGATAAGAGATACAGATTTCTTGTCACATGGACTAGGACCGCCTGACAATAAAGTAACACTGCACAGTTCCTTCCTGTTGTAATGGCCAGGATTGCACTTAGTGCAAAGTTCACCAACAAATGCCAGTGTCCTAATAAGTGTATGAAATAGGATCACATTATTTTCCCTGTCTTAATGGCAGAAGCTTGGACTAGACCGCTTTTAGAGGTCATTTCTAATTCTGAAGATAAATGAGTGTGTGTTTTGATTCCTTTTATGGAATTCACATCTATGTTACCAATCTAGTTCTTGGTTAAATGTTCATCCAGATGATCCCAGTTTTCCTCTTATTACCTGCACTTCCTAAAATATTCTTATCCAATCCAAATTGACTTCTATAACAAGGTACCAACCATTGCAATCCTATTCTTTGTATCAAATAAGCTATCCCAAGCAGTAGCTTCAAATTTCTGTATCAGCTCATTCCACTCTCTTTTTACACATTCCTTCTCTGGACAACCTGTTGCACTGATTGCAATGAGTACATTCTTGATGGGAATATATCTATATATATATCTATCTTGAATTAAATGCACTAAAATGTGTCTTTAGGTATTACTTTGACATTTTAATAAGATGCCAATGGCGACATTATGTTCATTCTCTAATATCTGCATGTACCAGTGGTCTAGGTAACGTAGCTTGAGGGGTAGAGTTCTTACCACATAGACCAGGAACTGCCAGCCAACGAAGTAATACTGCACTGTTCTTGCGGAGATGTCCTGAGTTATATTTGGAGCAAAGTTCACCAATAGATATGTTCCTGCAAATGCCAATGTCGTACCTTTAAATATTGAAAAGACAGACAGCAATGAAAAGGGGTAGCCTTTTTGTTAATGAGAACATTACCTACAGCATTGCTTTAAAAAACGTGCTGACCAGCACTCCTTGTTAAAATGCTCCATCAATCCACCCCAGGGATAGCACCAGACAGGCACCTGACAGCATGACCTTTAAAGGGGATAAAGGCAGGTAAGAGATGGATGAGGCAGAGCATAAATTCTGATTTTTTTGTTGTTGTTGTTCCAGATGAATCCTGGGCTTTTCAGAGTTGGAGATCGGGACACATGCATATGGGCATGAAAATGCATCGGAGCACCCATTTTCACAGGGGCAGAGTGAAGAGCGGAGGGAGGGGGGTGGAGGGAGGAAAAGGAGGAGAGGAAGTGAGGGGAGGAAGAGGGTGTTAGAAGAGGGCGGTGCCCTAGGTAGAGGGAGGGGAGGGGGAGGGAGGAGGTAAGAGGTAGGGAGGAAGAGCAGGAGGGGAGGATGGAAGGGAGGGAGCAGGAAGAGTGGAGATAAGTAGTTGGAGGGATAGAGTTGGAGGGCGGTGGAAGGAGGTAAGGGGGAGGGAGGGATGAGGGGAGGAGGGTGGAAGGGGGAGAGGAAGAGAGGGGACAGGAAGAGAAAGAGGGGAGGGAGGGAAGAGAGGAAGGCATGGGAGGGGGGGGAAGAGAGAGAAGGGTGGAAGAGGGAGGGGCAAGAGGGGGAGAGGGAGTTAAAGGGAGGGAAGAGAGGAGGGGAGGGAAGAAAGGAGACAGGGGAGGAGAGGGAGAGGTGTGGGAGGAGCTCACGGGAAGGGAGTGGGAGTAGAGGGAGGGTAAGGATGGGGGAGGGAGTTGGAGGGGTGGGGAACGGGCAAGGGAAGGAGGGTGAGGAGGGAAGGGGGTGAGGGAGTTAGAAGAGGAGGGGGAAGGAGAGGAGGGAGAGGTGACAGGAGGGGAGGCACAGGGTCGAGGAGGGGCAGCAGGGCATGTGAGGGAGGGAACCAGGAGCCCAGGAGCAGGTGGAGGGACGTGGTTACAGGAGGGTGGCGATGCAGGCAGGGAGCGAAGGGAAACCCGCCTGGCCTCTGATGGTCAATACAGACTCTGAAGAAAAGGCTAGAAACTATCCTCGAAGCTGTCGGGACGCAGGGGAGGCCTGGACAGGCACAGGCACAGTGGACAGGAGAGATTCCTATTTAGAAAATGGTAACAGGGCACAGAGATGGACGCTGTTTCTGTCCAGCCTAACGGTGAAGCTAGAGTGTTTCCCAGACACCAGCACAGACTACCCGAGCGCGGGCTCCAAGGAGACATGCTCCACGGCCGTGGGAAGTGGGTGGACAGTGTGGAGCAGCGACGGAGACAGCACATCTGCTCGCCCCGCCAGGGAGCTGCGTGAAGGCACACGCACAGTGGAATACTACTCGGCCACAAAAAAGCTAAAATCCTGCCATTTGTACAACATCGATGGACCTAAAGTGTATTCATAGATGAAGAAAGACCGATACCGTGTGGCTTAACTGACACATGGTAACAAATTTTTAATCTATAAAACCAAATTAATGGGTCCTGGCAGGAAAGGGGGTCAATTTTATAGTGAAGGACAGATTTGGACTTTATTTTTCTGTGTGTGTTTTTCTTCTTTTGCTATGGAATGTTCCGTGAATGCATGGCATCCTTGTGTAGGGGCTGTATTAATCTTTGAATTGTTGCAATTTTAGTATATGTGCAGCCAAAGCAAGCACAGATTTGGGCTTTTCTGGTGAACTTAGTCTCTATATAGCTGCTGATTTATAATGATGCGCGCCTGAAACTCAAGCTATCATGTCATATTACTGCAATAAAAATTATTTCAATAAATTCATGGTAATGGAAAAGCTAGATCTTTGTTTTTTGGCATGCATTTACTTAATATCTTCTCAGCAGTGGTTTGTTTTTGCTGTAAAGTGATCATAGTATCTTATTTTCAGGTTTATTTACTTTATCTTAAAGAATATTTTCATCATGTTTAGAGGTTAACTTTTGCATGAAATACATATATACATATGTACTCATAAGCATGGGCTAGCAGATGTGCTATCTTTATCACATGTAACAGCTTAACAGTAAAAAGTTACGCCAAAACATTTTACTTTGAGATTTAAATAACTTGCAGGACAACTGTGTTTCATGCAAGATTCCAGTGAAAAATTAAACCAGTCTAATTTTTGGAGAGTAGCAGAATTACCCAATAGCCCTTACAGAATTCACTAAAATTCTTAAGACTAAAGATTGTAATCAGTTATTTGCAGTATTCCCAACTTTGTTAAAAGCTACAGATCTCAGTTTTTAGAGACACAATTTCTGCCTGTTTAATCCTTTATGGAAGGAATATCCTCTGGCTCCATTTAGGATGGCAGTCATAGGTTCTGTTTAATTAGAAGTAACTGTCTTGAAAGTCTTTAATTTCATATAACTCTTTTAAGACTCCCCCACTTTAAATCCCTTAAGCTAGCAACAATTTGATAAACTATAACTTTGGAAGCAAAGATAAAACACTTAACTTCTCCTGACTCCTCCAGAATTTGGAAACTTAGTTTTCTTGTTTTCATGACAATGTAGTTATTTGTAGAAGTTAAGTAAATAGCTGTTCCTCTTACAATAAGACACAACCGGAAACATAGATATATTACTAAGACTGACTAGAACATCATATTTGAGGATGATCAAACAGCTTTAAGGAATTATGATTGACCTATGGAGCCAACAAAGCCCCTTGGGAAAGCTGCTGGTTTCTAGCAATCTTACCAGGTGACTAAGGAAGGTCACTTCTTGGCAAGCTCAGGAACCTCAAAATATTTTGGGAACCTCTACAAAAGAGAATTAACCAAATTTATTGGTATTATAGACAAAGTCTGATGATAAGATCATGCATGGCTTCTGAGTTTTGAGAAGCTTTTAAGAACTCAATCTGAGATTCCATAGTTAATCATTATTCCTTATGCTTTTATATAAATAACAGCTAAAAAAACCCCATAGAGTTAATCACTATTCCTTATGCATTTATATAAATATAAATTTATTGAAAAGAGGCTATGGTTTTCTTTCATAAAAATGAAAAAAATTGTTTCAATAATATACCTCTATAGAAATTAACTAGTGCCATTGTCTTAATATTCCTAAACTGGACTAGATTCTGAATTATACTAGCTTCCTCCAGTATCTAGGTATGACTATCCAAATTAATGTTTCCAGTTTTTCTCCCATCCTTTTGACTAGAAATCATTGAACACTAAAATTACCCTTTTCTGACAACAGAAACTTCCCAAAAGACACAACTCATGTGTGGACAACTGTTATGCCTGTTGTATAAGTCATTCAGAAAGTTTACCAGAACATCGAGTGACATTCTCAGAAACATTCAAACTATAAAAGGTGCTTTAAACCCAACATCTAAAAATCTTCAACTGGGTTCCCTTAACACTCAGATTGGGTTTACAATCTACTCTAATTATTAAATTATTAACCATTTTTTTTTCCATAGAAGTTCCTCCCATTAAATACCTGCTTGTTTGTAACACATAGGCCTAACACTGAAAGTCCACCTGCTACGCTGTCTCCTGAAACTGGAAACAACTGCTTGATTGAACTGCCCTATTCTCTGGACTAAGGGACTGAGTCAATGACATGGAACAATTTACCAACTGTTTTTAATAGATGAAACTTTCAGGGAAGTTTCAGAGAAGGGAATTGCTGGAGTCCAGGGCAGGCTGCCCCAAGAAGTGCCAAAGTGGCATAGTTACTATTTTGGATTAAGGTTTCTTGAGAAACAGAAGATGGAAAAATGATATCCCATGTCTCCTACAAGCAGGAAATGAATCTGCTATGTGAATGATGCTCTCCTAGAAGGAGACAGCATTACAAAGTTTTATGGGCTTGTTTCTCCTGAGTAAATAAGCTCCACTTAGCTTACTTTATAAATTACTGTCCAAACCAAAAATTTCAAGAATTTGTCTAGAAAATATTTAAGCATGTTGCTCTGTTTACATCAGATTCCATATTCATATGGCAGCTCCATGTGCATGAAATTAAATTTGTCTTTTTCTCCTGTTAATCTGTTTTATGTCAACTTAATTATTTTCCAGCCATAAGGTCCCACAAGGATAAAGATTTCCCCCCTTCTGAACACCCTGTAATATCTACTTGCACAATTCTTCCTCATCTGACATCTGGTTTCCCAGACCACCCTTTCCCTTAACTAAAACCTGAAAAACTCTTGAATTTTGTCCCTAGTTCCTGACTAAATGTCAACCAGTGTTAACTGCCTAGTTTCTAGATTCTGAAATATGGTCTGACCTAAATTTGGATAACCTTAAAAGTTTGGTGGGTTTTGTTCTATCTTAATATTGAGCTAACCTGACTCTAACCAAGATTGCTGTCTCATTCTTTCGGTCCCTGCAATATATCCTCTGATCAGTGGGAGTCCACTATTGATTTTTAGGGACACTGGTATTAATACACACAGGATAAATTGGACTCCTTAATGCCAAAACATTTGGGATGACTTACTCTCTGTACAGTATCTCCAGATTCCTCAGGCTTATGGCAGCTAAATCTTAAAGGAGCCCTGGATGGGAATCTCAGTAATGTAATCTAGCCAAATAGTCTTGAACAACAGAAAGTTTCCCATTCTTGAGTCAACTTTGAAACCAAAATAGTCAATCTGTCCTCCAACCAGAAATAATAATTTGTTTGGCTAGATTGGTATTCTAGATACTTGCCACAAACCAAGCCAACCTCTGGTGTGGAAGAAGGAAGGAAGGACTTGGTTTTCATCTCACTATTAAAATTTCTTGAAATTCTATCTGAGGAAACCATTTATAGGTGACTTGAAGTAATTAAGTTACTGGTCTCTGGAGTGCTGATGAATTGACTGTCATTTTTATTTCTATGATGACACTATCTGGACCTAAATCAAGTAGGATTTCACAGACTATTAGATTCAGTACTTTTGATGACTAAGGAAGAAGTGGGAAGGGAAATACTATAGTTTTTGGCTTATTGAAGGAGAGAGAATCGATATTTTTTAAAGGAAAAATCATTATTAAAGTTATTTAAAATTATTAATCCACTAAGAATCAGAGCACAGTTCAGAGCTTGTCATTGAGGTAATAATAGTTGGCGATTCCTTTCAGACATAGCTTTTGTGAGGTCATTTTTTGAGGCTAGTGGTGAAAGCTTCATAGCCAAAGAGCAACATTTGGCAATAAATTAGTTCAGCTTGTTTCCACATGGCCCCCAAATCTTCATTTGTTCCATCATGAAAAACAAACTTTCATTTGCTTGAAGCAGGGAAAAATAAATGATTTTCTTTTGCACATTTTGACAATTTAATTTTTAGCATGCTTACATGCTAATCTTTAAAAAAAAAATTCCACTAACTCCTCTTTTCTCTGTTTAGTTTTTGTCTCTAATGAAAAAAAAATGCATTTTTAGCTTGTAACAGAAAGAGCCAGATTTTATCAAGGCAACAACAATATAGGCCCAGAGAAAAATATATGTGACAACACATTATGAGTGAGGTGGGGATAATGTCTTTCTTTAAGTATGAAGTGGATTATTATGTCTCAGAGTCCAGAGTGCTAACCATTATACCATGGAACCCACTTTTATTATTATGTCCCAGATAATAATAGTCTTATGGAATTGCTGTTGGAGGCATGGGTGTGGAAAAGGTGACTAAATCCCACAGGTAAGAACTGATCACTTTTAATGATGATATGAGACAAATATGACATTGGTGATATAACCCTACCAAAAATTATTGAGGCAAAAAATCAAAATCAAACCCTATTAGAGTTGTAAGAAATATTACCTGGATTACTATAGTTCCTATAAATATGGTAATCAAGGTTTCTGCTGATAAACCAGTAAAGCATGATGGGTGGTACATAGTGGGTGGTGCGTGTGGCAGTAATGATAATAATAGCTAACATTACTGAACACTTTTTAAGTGGTAGGTCTTGTTCTGAGAGTTGGATATACCTGAACTCACTTAATTCTCTGAGGTAGGTAATATTACTTTTATTTTGAACATGAAAAAATTAAGGCTTAAAGAGATTAACAAAGGTCACACAATTCTCTGATGCCAGAGAGACCTTCAACCACTATGCTAGAGCTATATCAAACTGCTATTAAGAGGATGCTGGTCCATCACTTACTATTTATATGGCCTTGGGCAAATTATTTAATCTGAGTATCAGTTCTATAAGCAGGCTATTCCTACATTTAAATGACATAATCCATGTAGGACACTTAATATTAGTACCCCAAAAGAGTACATATTTAATAAATGTTAGGTATTATTAAAATAAGAGTGATTAGCAGAGAATCAAGGAATTAATAGAGATTTTTTGGTGTGTGTGTGTGTGTGTGTGTGTGTGTGTGTCCATTCCTTATGTTATCGACACATTTTTAGTTTGACCTCTTGGGAATGAGTGATCACAGAAATAACCATTACATTGCTTGTCCCATGCAGCCACCAAAACCGATTCAAATGTTACCAATGCTATAAAAAATTCTCTCTGAGCTTCCCAGTCATAGTAATCTCTCTTTAGTTCTAAGCCAGCGATTCTAAACTGGGGGTAACTTTGCCCTGGGGGACATTTGGCAATGTTTGGAAACATTTTTTATTGTAACACTATGACAGCAGAGGCTAGTGGCATTTAGTGGGTAAAGGCAAGGAGGGATATTACCAAATATCAATGTACAGGACAGTCTCCTACAACAAATAATTATGTCCTAAAATATCAGTAGTGCACAGCTTGGGAAACCCTGTTCTAAACTAAAGATTGTTATTTTAATGCTTTGATAAGAATTATTTATGTATGTATTTCATCAACTGCATTATTTGGAAGCAGGGATTCAGTCTTGATTATATTTTTTATCACTGATATTCAAGATCACTAACAAGTCTTTCTTTATGTCCATCTATAGTACCTCATTAAACACTTTAGATTAATTAAAACATGAATCAACCATTAATTATAAAAGATGATGTATGTTAGATAAAAACAGAATGCTAAATGAGAAAAATAATGTAGAAACTAATTTTTAAAATTTCTACCACCCATACATTGCTCATTTTCATTTCTGATTCCATATAGCTTCCCCAAATGATTCTGTCAACCTTAGTATGTTTTTTCAAAGTGCATCGAACAATACAACAGTTGAAGATAAACAATTCACATATGAATGCATTTGGAAAAATATTTTAACCATTCAAAATTTGACAATGTCGACTACAAACTCAACCAACAGAATCAAACCAGGGAGGAAAAGAAAAAGTAAAGACATTCTCAAGACATGAGGCTTGAGGGAAACATGATCAGGGAAGACAAATGCTCACATACCGACGCTGGTGTCACAGTCAAAGCTCAGATTTTTAAAATATGTGATCTCCTTGGAAGCGAGTAGACACTGCTTTATTTAAAATGCCTAAAGTATCTGTATTCATTATCATATGTCAGCAGCAAGTCAGACAGGATTTTGTCAAGGAAGAAAATATGAATCTCTATAATTCTTCTCACCAATGGTATTTCCAACACAAAGTGGAAGGTATTATCACTATATGATGACTTTGCTATGCAACGGGAATCTTGCTTACACCCAGGAAGGCTACTGTTAGTATCCACTAATAGCTGTACCTCTAAATAAAACTTTGAAGAGCTATGTTCTGTGTTACTTTCACAAAAAGCTAATACAAATTAGGTAGTTAATTGGTGCATCTAATTTCTGTGTGTGGTTTTCATTTTTATGCAGTACTTTCACATAACAACCTAACAAATATGTCCTTTGAAGTGGAATAGTCTGTTAGTTGACACAGATGTTTTCTTGAATTTTATTATGCTCATAAAAATTTCATAACATTATTAATAATAATACTGTAAAATAATAATTTGCTGTGGTCAATAACATGGGCAGTAGGCATAATGAAAATGGAAGTATTTCCCATGAAAGAGCAGATGGCAGCTCTAAGACAGAATAATGGTCACCTCTAAATGAGATTATTTCCATTTCAGTAATTTGTTCCTAGTTTGTAAACATCTTTTTTTTATGGACAGTATTATTTTCTGATCAAGCAGTGCTATAATTAGATGAATTAAAAAATTACTTACCCAGTAGATCTGAGGCTCTCAAATTTTCTTTCAGAAACATAACAGAAATAATGGCACTACCTAGAAAGAAAGTGGCCATTAGTGATATTATATAAAAACATAGATTATGCAAAGCCATTTGAAAGGAGTTAAGCAATTTATGCATAATGCCTGACTAGCTGTGTCCTGCTCAGACACCAAGCAGTGTGCTGTTAAAATGACTTTTCTCTCTTTATCACTCCTTAGTGACGTGACATGGAAATTGGCATAGTTTACAAATGACCCAGGACAATGACTGTAAGAGTGTCCAGTTTACAGTGAGGGCTCAATATAAGTTTATTAAATGATTAAATGAATGAATGCCAAAAAAGAAGGCAGAAAAAGAAGGAAAGGCAGAAAGAGATAGAAGGAAGGATGTCAGGAAATCTTAACTTTAAACATATCCCAAGTGGAAACACATTATATCTCATTATCTCCTCCTCCTATGATCTCTATTCCTATTCCTATTCTACTGAGCACCAGAATTCTAGGTCTCCTCTGAGTACCCTTTCCCCTTCTCACTCTATACAAATAATAGCTTCCTGGGTCTATTAAGTTAATATTTCACTCTATCTCTAGTCTGTCCCCCTCCACAGTATTCCATAATCACTGCCCAGCTCAGGCCAGCTTCACCTGTGCCCTAGACCATTGAAACTTCTCACAGCAAGACCAGAGCTATCTTTCTAAAATGCAAATCTAATAATCCCCAGCTTTAAAACCTTTTAATGGCATCCTATCAGCTACAGGACAAAAGTCAAACTACTGACCATAACATTCAGGGACAGCCATGATACACTTTCTCCTCCTACACTGCTCCATTTGTCTTTGCTCTTTTTCATATTCTATGCCCATCCTCAAATAATAATTCCCTAAATTACAATCATTCAGTTTCATGCTCAAGGACTTTTATATTTGCAATTACTCCTTCTGCAAGTCTGCCTCTATCCTCTCTGATGTGTGGTTACCCTCCATAATAGAGCTTTTTCTTACACCAAGATTTACGTGCCTGTCTCACCCAAAGGACTATCAGTTCCTTTTACTCTGAGACAGGTCTTATTCTTCTATGCTCTCCAGTGTGTAGTTAGTACTTAGTACATAAACAAAAGAATGTTTGCAGGATCTTTGGCATTTGCTGACTTTCATGACATTTAAGACTCTCTTTCCTGTTCCTGATGCTACTGAACTCTCACGGTCATAATTGAGTTGTGGTCTGCTGCTAGGGCCTCAGATTGACCAGGAAAGTTGAAGCTCTTTGAGTTGTTCATCTTATGGAGCTGTCCCTCTAAGAGCAGGGCATGGGGAAATCCAAACTTTCAATAAAACAAAATAGTACACAACAGGCAATTCTGCCTGGCTGTGACTATGCAGGTGCCTCTCTTTTTCTTTCTCCTTTTCCTAATAAACCTGTCCTTTTAAAATGTAAAACATAAAAAGTACACAACATACTTCGTGTTTAAAAAAATTTTTTTAAAAAAAATTTTTTTTAAAGATTTGTTTATTTATTTATTTATACAAGCACTGGGTACAGTCAGAAGTGCGGGAGGGTGAGAGAATTCACCAGAGCCAGAGCGGGGAGCAGAGCAGGCAGAAGGACCGAAGTACACTGCTAAGGGGAGCAGCGGGTGGCAGGAGAGGTCTGCGCGCCATGTGGGACCCTCCTCCGGTGGCTGGGGAGCAGCCGGGGATCGAACCAGTGCTGCAGAACCTGCAGGCAGCTTCGCAACCCAGTGCTCAACTGCTGCGCCACGGGGGAGGCCCTGTGTTTTAAAATTTTAACACAGACCATTACCTGTGTTTTTTACTTTACCATTTTTAAAATGAAAATACATGACAGAAAAATCTTCAGAAAAGAATCTCATCAAACAGTGAAAACTGAAGTTAATACACTAATGTTTATTTCCCTTTAGTTGAAATCAAACTATAACACAAAATTTGTTTCCTTAGTTGATATATTACAATTTGTGATATTAAAAATTCTTCATAAATAAAATTTTAATGAGTTTGGAATAATAACACACTAAATCAGTTAAATCTGAATATAATATCTGATGTTCTTGATAACTAATTTGAAACAAAGTAACATATTCACATCAGAATCCTCATTCAAGATGAGATGGGATCCTCATGTGTTTTCTCCATCTTTTTCTCAATTTGGCTCTCTCTCACTCAAGTTGAGCTATGTCCTTGCAAAATTTTTCTGGGCAGGCTTTTTATTGGAATGGTTTCACACAGAATTAAACAGCATGGGAAATGTCCAGTAAGCATGAATTTGATTGGGTGGTATGACTTTAAAACCTTAAAACAGGGAAGTTTGCCCGAGCAAGGCCCCTTCTGGCCAGTGGTCCTAGCCCAGAGGGGGAGCGGGCACCCACCGCCAGGGCAGACTGGGCATGCAGGGGAGTGCATCCCCGCATCGCCATTTTAGAACAGGGACCTTTCTTCAGTAAAGACTGCTTGAAACTGGCAGAAGGCTCCCTGTGGAGCCAGAGGGAGAAGGTTCCCTGCGCAGTCAGAGGTGAGCTGAAGGCCCCCACAAGCCTAGTTCCAACTGGCAGGAAGTTGGAGCCCAGAGGGGGTTTCCAGTGATTTGGAATCCAGAGTCCAATCCAGCTGCCCCACCTCCAGGGAAGTTTGTGGGACTTCAAGACATACCTTTGTAATTAAACAGAGAAGGAGGAAATATTCTGTGACAGCGACAATTAATATACTCAAAGTACCACTGCCTCACTAGACTTCTGGCATAACAGTATTTGACTCATTTAGACCGCCAGTTTCTGAACCCCACAAAGAGCACACCAAAAAGTTGCCGGCCGGTACCAGCAACACAGTGTCTCCACGCATACGGCAAATTAGAAAACAGGCAGCAGGGAAAAGAAAAACTACATGCAACCCAGCAACTCCTCAGAAAAAAAGACACACCACAAAAAGAAAACCACCCACCAGATTGCAACGACAGTAACTTGGAAGAACTTCTGAGCCTTCCAGAAAGAGAATTTAAAATTGCCGTGATTAAAAAACTGACAGAAGTCATAAGGGAAAACAATGATAAGGGAAAAATAATCAATGATCAGAAGAATGAAATTGAGTCCCTAAAGAAGGAAGTAAATGCAGGAGATCAAAGAATTAATGGAGGCGCTAAAGAATTCTGGGAAAAGCAATGAAAGCAGAATAGATGAAATGGAAGAACAAATAAGTACTCTCGAAGACACAGAAATAAAAAGAACTAAAACAGAAAAGGAAAGAGAAGTACGAAGGAAAAAAAAAGACCGAAGAAAGACTTCGGGAACTATCTGACTCCATGAGGAAAGGAAATATAAGAGTTATAGGAATCCCAGAAGGAGAGGAGAGAGATGTAGGAACAGAGAAAATATTCAAGGAAATAATTGACGAGAACTTCCCAAATGTGAAGGAGGAGCTGAAAATTGATATACAAGAAGCAAGAACACCAAACTTTCATGACGAAAGGAAAAATACAGCAAGACACAGTAATAGTAAAGCTCCCAAGAATCCAAGACAAGGAAAATATAATGAAGCTGACAAGAGGGAAGAAACAGATAACATTCAAAGGAAAACCAATCAGACTGACATCAGACTTCTCCGAAGAAACTCTACGGGCAAGGAGAGAGTGGAGGGACATAGTCAACAGACTCCAAGAAAACAAATGCCAACCAAGAATACTCTATCCCGCAAAGCTCACCTTCCTCTATGAAGAAAGAATAAGGACCTTCCCAGACAAACAGAAGCTCTGGAATTTCATTACGACTAAACCCCCACTCCAAAAAATACTAAAAGAGTCCTAAAGCCAGAACCTCAGAGGGACGAATAACCACGAAAGAAGGCCAAAAAAAAAAAGTTATTAAAAGAATAAATAAATAAAATTAAAGGAAAGACAAACACAATGGCAAATACAGATGCTAACATATCAATATTAACTCTAAATGTAAATGAACTAAACTTTTCAATAAAAAGATACAGAGTCGCAGGCTGGATTAAGAAACAAAACCCAACCTTTTGCTGTCTCCAGGAAACACATTTAGCTACAAAAGATAAAAATAGACTCAAAGTTAAAGGATGGAAAACAATCCTACAAGCAAATGGACCAAAAAAGAAAGCAGGAACAGCTATACTTACATCAGATAAAACAGATTTCAAACTCAAAAAGGTAAAAAGAGACCCCACATAGGGGTAAAAAGAGACTACATTATGATCAAGGGGACAATACTTCAAGAAGAAATAACACTCATTAACATAGACTCACAAAACGAAGGAGCACCAAAATATATCAGACAACTATTGTCATCTTTGAAAACAGACATCAGAGAAAACACATACGTAGTGGGAGACTTCAACACACCACTTGAATCAACAATGGATAGATCAACAAGACAAAAAATAAGTAAAGACACTAAAGCTCTAAATAAGGATCTAGAGTGCTTGGGCTTAACAGACATCTATAGAACACCAAACCCCCAAAAATCTGAGTACACATTTTTCTCAAGTGCACACGGATCATTCTCCAGGATCGATCACATACTGAGACCCAAGACAGACATCAACAGATACATCAAGATTGAAATCATACCAAGCATCTTTTCTGACCATGAAAGCATCAAACTAGAAATAAACCATAAAAAGATGGCAAGGAACACTCCTACCTCATGGAGATTGAAAACCACACTACTGTAAGACCACTGGACTAATGAGGAGATCAAAGAAGAAATTAAAAAATTCTTTGAATTGAATGACAAGGAGGACACCAATTTCCTAAATGTATGGGATGCAGCAAAAGCAGTAATAAGAGGAAAATATACAGCAATAGAGGCTCACATCAAGAAACAAGAAATAACTCAAAGAAACAACTTAATCTCGAAGCTCAAAGATCTAGAAAAAGAACAACAAAAAAACCCCAAATCAGTAGAAGAAAAGAAATAATAAAAACCAAAGCAGAAATAAATGAAATTGAAACTAAAAAATCAATCCAAAAGATCAATGAAACCAAGAGCTGGTTCTTCGAAAAAATAAATAAAATAGACAAACCCCTA